TATAAGACAAAACAACTTGGAAAAAAATAAGCTATAAATTCCTTTATCCTTCCTTTTGGTTTAGACCAACTTTTCCTCTTTCATTGGTGGATAATAAATCAGGAATGAATCCAGTAGCCTGCTGCTAAATATTTAAAAATATATACTTATAAAAATATTATAGTTTGTTGTGATTGACAAGTTTCATGGTTCACATACTCCCTTCATAATCAATTTCAAACTTTTGTTGGGAAGAGATGTATATAAATCCACAGTAATGAGCCAATTCAGTGAGCTGGCTCCAACATACCACTGGATGTCCCCACATTTAAACCAGGAGAATCAATGCAATTGATTTTCCTAAACTAAAAAGTAAAAACAACAACAACAACAAAAAAAAAACAATGTTTTTTATACAGGAAGAATGTGATGATTTGATTACATATGTCTAATTGTACTTTTTCAAATAAAATGCCAGTGATGTGCTGAAAGAGCATATTCTTAAATGTATTTCATGTGCATCAGGATGAATTCTACCCTACCAGTCTCTATCACTTTGGTTAGGTATATTTTTTGTGTACTTTTAGAACAGGTTGTACATATAATAGTGCAAATACTTGAAACAGCAAAGTTTTCTGCTTGGTATTGAAGCAGGCCTCTACTTAGGAATTAATTCTGGAAGCTTTGACAATAAGTATGCTCTGAAGTGATTGCTACAGAGTCTAACAGAGAAATTATGTAGGGATAAATGGAGTTCTAAGATACCCTGACCCAAAGACATGTCTAGGAAAGAATTACAGATTAGGTTCTTAAAGTACACATCCCAAAGTGTTCAAACTATGGGTCTAAGATACCGTTCAAGCATCTCACACAAGCCCCTATTCCCTTTCATCTCCCAGCACATTTAAGATCTTTACCTGGAGGATTAATCACGGAACTTTTGAAGAGATACAAAGGGAGGGCTGGAGGTGGAGTAGAAAATTACAATGCTGCATGGGTGAATAAAATGGTCATAGATTAAATCTGAGATAGGGGTTGAAGATTTACATTGGGATATTTTAAGAGTTTAGTCATTAAAGTGTGAGTTAAAGTCTGGTTTTATTCATTTATTTTTAGTTAGGAAAGGGAGACAGCATCCATACATTATTCAAGAAATATATGGCTGAGAAATTGAAAAAAAAAAAAAAAAGGACAATGCTGAGAAGTGATTGGATGTGGTAACAGGAGTGGGGTTAGATCCTTAATCTCAGAAAGAAAAAGAAGAAAAACCTGGGTTGCAAAATGTTTGAGAAACAGGGTCAAGTCCAAGCTGTGGAAGCTAAATTAAATTTCCTAGAATAAGGCAGTAGAATCCAGTAAGATAGAACCCAGAGGCGATCAGAATGCCAAGTCTCCTACTTACAAATGGCTGCCTAATGCATTTTACAGATACATGAGAAATGGAAGTAAAAGCTAATTTAATTGTTCAACAATGTGGTGCAGATGATGAAATCTAAGCACTTAATTTGGAAAAGAGTATAGAATTAAGATGACTGCATTGATTACTGTGAAGTGTATGACATGTGTGAATGGGCTTGACAGAGAAAGAAAACTGTGCTCTGTAATTTAGAAATCCACAGCTACTTATTTCTTCTAGGAACATGCATTTTATTCATTCATTTTTTCCCCCACAGTTGTTTATAGACAATGTTTAAAACATCAACACCATGAATAAAAAAAGACACACTTGAGCATCCTCCCATAAAATTGTATTTGTTCTACAAAAATAATTGTATATATTATTTTTTCTCTATTTATATACCTTATAACTTAGGAGGTTGATTTACTAAATAAGAACCAATTTTATAATCAAAATCTATATGTCTATTCTTATTTTGTTCCCAAAATATTTATTGTGAGGTAAGTCTTCAAGTGTGTATGTATATATTTTTTTAGTTGTTTATTTATGTAGTGCTGAGGATGGAACCCAGGGCCTCACACATGTGAGACAAGTGCTCTACCACTGAGCCATAGCCCCAACCCCTGTATTTTTCTTTTTAGTCCTTTCTCTCTATTAAAGCATCATTGGGAAAAGAGTCATTGAATAAATAATTCCCCTAATTGGAACTCAGCAAAGGTTTCCTAGAAAAACAGGAAGAAATGGTAGAAGAGAAATCTGTCTTTATTTTTTAAGATTGTTGGTTCTTAAATTTAAGTGGCAGGGAAGCTACCCAGTTCCAATTCCAGTGAGTGTCCCTTGGCATTTTGTCTGGGCTCCTTAATGAGGGATTAGGAATGTTTGATTTGTCAGATGCTACCTCCCCTCTGCCCTAACTCAACAGACAGTAAGTCCCAGAGGACTATCTCAGGCAAAAATCCAAGGGAGCAAAGTTTGGCTCTCACAATCCTTTAGTTCCTCTTTGGACCCCTCTTCTGTACTACTGATCTTCTGTTGCCCAACTCAAAATAACAGAATCAATGTAGACACATTTGTTTTCTTACTTATCCCAGAGGAATTCATACTTCAAAACAAATGTCATTTTCAATAAGAGTGAAATTTTAAATATCAGAGTGAAATTTTTAGATTCCTAATGTTTTGGATAACTAATTTTAGATTTTGTACAATTAGACCTAGACAAGTATAGTCAATGATATTTTTTAAATCATAAAAGTTAATATGCTAGAAGAATTTCAATTAAAATATACAAGTTTTTCTCCATTAATTCATCTCAGATTTTTGAGACAACTGGTCCACATTGCTGTGATATTTTAACTTCATGTACCATGTGTTTCTGAATATTTCAAATGCATTGAGGCTAAGCTCAGTCACTTCAGAATCCTGTTATCCTTCAGCTTGGTATTCATTTGGAAATAGCAATGAAAGCCAAATGTGTTTTGTTTACATCTTTGCCAAAGAGAAAAACTGCATGTTTCCCCTTATTAATAAAAAACTGACATATGACATCCACTCAGATGGCTGCCTCTCCAACTTCCAACACTAAGCACTATTTTAAAAATAAATCAATACTACAGTGTTCTTTTTGTTTCTTATTTTCTTCTTTAGCTTCTTTTAAAAAAGGCATGGGAGTATCTGTGTACAAATATATCAGCACCTGATATATGACTGCCTGATATGGAGGAAGGCTGCTGTAGGTTTGTGGCTTTCCCTCATGTCCATCACATTTACCATGCACATATAAGAAGTTCACCACAGTAAATCTTCTGGTTCTCAGATAACATTATATTCTCCCTAAAAACCACTGTACACACTATCAAACCCCAGAAAAGGATAACCCCCCACAAGTACACAGATATTTCCCCCCAATGCCTATAGGAGATAATCAATTAATTTAAGAATAGGAAAAAACAAGATAACACAATCAGTTTTCTAAGTGAACCAGTTACTTAATATCTTTTGTTTTTCTTTTTCCTCAGTTGCAAACATATTTCAATAACTTATCTATTCTACTGGGTCTCTGTGAGGATCAAATTAAACATTGTTTGTAAAATGCCTGGTAAATAAAATTCATTAGTGATTGTCAACCTTTACTATTTTTCTACCAAAATTTGAATTTGAAGAAAGACTGTACTCTTAGTGTGGGGGGTAGAGTTGGCTTGTAATGGGTTACAAAGGTAGAGAATGGATTTCAGAAACAAACTTGGTAACTATTACTAAATTATTACATGACAAGCTATCATAAATCACAAAATAATGGTGTATTGCTACTGGAAAAACTGAGGGATTTTCATTGAAATATGCCAAAAATACTGGCAAAGGAAAATATAAGTCACTCTCTGGGCTAAGTTGTGCCCAGTTTAAGTTATTGCCTTGTAATGCAACTGGGAACAAGGCACATGCATAACTTGCAAAATATTTACAATAACTTGTTTCAAAACACATATCACACCTCTGCTGATTGATTTCATAAAAAAATTTTGGTAGCACATGTGGCTTATGGTACTTCAGGCATTTAATGAATACCCTTTTTTAAGTATGTTGGATTATTTCCTTTCTCACTAGATAGTGATGGTAGAATATTCCTATGTATTGATAGGGTGATGGACCCACACAAACATAAAGAGCTCTGAGTTGACAGAAGACATTTTCTCAATTTCTGTACTTCTCTCCACTTAATCTCTAAAGTGGCTCAACGACAAGAATCTCTACCTAGATGCCTTCCCAACACCTCTTGAAAACTCAAAAGCCTCTCAAACTCAGTATGTCCAAGAGAGCTCTCATTATCCACCCCACCCACTATCTGTGCATCTTCCTCTGTTGCTTGTCATTTCCTGTCACAGCAAACAATACTATTACCTACACCGTCAACTCCATTTTGCAACCCAGAAACGTAATTGTCATTCCTGACTATCCCTCTCTTCCTTCCAAATTCAGCCCATCATTAAGCACCATTGATTTTACTAATTTTCTCCTCTTCCCTTTCTCTTTGTCTCCCTTGCTTCAGACTAACCTAACTGGCCATCACCTGTCTTCTACATTATGGGATGCCCAGCCCATCTCTGGCTTTCCTAAAGCCTGAAACTCCTGCCAATTCTCTTTGCCTGGTTACCTCTTCAGATTTTCATTTCACTTCCTCAAGGAAGCATTTCTTGACTTCTTGTGCCACATGAATTTCCTGTTTTACATTTTCACAGTGCTTTACAACTTTCCTTTATAGCACTGAATGAAAAAACAAATCAAGATTTTATTTTGTTTTGACACCTTGATTAATATTTTTCTTTCCTATTAATCTGTAAGTTCCTGTAGAGAGGAAACTACATCTATTTTTGGTTACCGATTAGCCCCCCAGGACAGGCTACATGAGCAAGCAATGTTCAGTAGTAAGTATTTGTAAAATAAATGAAAAAAATGATGTCAGGTACGTTTCCCATGAAAGACTATATTGTTTTGCTTAAAAAAAAAAAAAAGACTCAGCAGGCAGTCTGTCATGTAAAATGCAGTTCCAGCTATGACTGTTTAAAAAGTTGACTCAAATTGTTATAAGGATGTGGAGTTTTGCAGAAAGTGAGTTTATACTTCTTACCTTTAGTTTTAAAGAGTTCAGCTTCTCTTCCCTGAGGTGCTCCCTCAGCATCTCCCGGTGCAGCCTCTCCTGCTCCCTGGCAAACTCGCCAAGGGTGTACTGGCGCACGCTGTTGTGGCGGCTGGACATCCCCAGGGTGCTGCCCCCTTGGCTGGGCACGCTTGTGAAGCCTTGCCTCCGGGTGAAGTAGTACACGGTGACACAACTAAAATGCACATTCTTGGTCCTTAGCCGCTTCTCCCTTTTGAGAATGGAGGAAGCTGGAAAGAAAAGAAAAAAATCCGGTCAACACCAAGGGTAGCGGTTCTCAGATGAGGTTAAGAAAATACCCCTTGGTCTTGAATCTATGTATGCTCAACACTTCTGGGCCCTTAAAGATTCTAAAACTCTTGTATCCCAGAGTTGAAGAAAAGACCTTTTAATTTCCTTTCATATACTTTTTTATAGCTATGGCAGAGTAGACTTTTAAGTGTTTCTATAAGGGCAATCCAAGCAAACTTTCAAACTTGCCTATATATTTGTTGCCGAACTTAATTTCTCATTTCCCCTAATTCCTTGCAATTTGGTTTTATGATTTTTACACAAGTTGTATTGTATGATAATAAGGATAGACATAATACAAACTTCCATACCTTTAATCTCATTTCCAGAAAATTATGTTCAGCATTAAAAAAAATTTGGCTAATTACCAAAATATAGTTACATGAGAGGATAAGTTCTAATGTTCGACAGCATAGTACAGTGATTATTGTTGACAACAACAATATATTTTCTACAGAACTAGCAGAAAGAAGTTGGAAATTTCCCAAGGCAAAGAAATGATAAATGCTTAGGAGATAAAAATGTTAATTACCATAATATGAAAATTCACACATTGTATGCATGTATTGAAAAGTTTATAAATAAAAATATGCACAATCATTATGTATAAATAAAGATATAGTGCTTGCAATACTTAAAAAAAAGAAAATTCTAAAAATCAATAAAAAAATCACAAAATGACTCACTGTTACTACTTAGATATACTAATAACCTAAACTAACAAAACTTTCATTTCACAAAATAACATCCCATTAAACAGCATTATAGAAAATGGGATTTTAATCCAAGAACTGAGAAAATTGCAAATGCCACAAGATATTTCAGAACTCTTATATTTTTTATCTTTTATTCTTTAAATAACGAAAATTACATCTATTTATGGTGTGCAACAATGGTGTTCTGATATATGTGCACATTGTAGAATTGCTAAATCAAGCTAATGAACATATCCATTAAGTTCCATACTTTTTTTGTGTGTAGTAAGAATCAGAACCTTTATTATTAGTTACAAGAATAGCAAAATACACAGAATATACAGAGCATCAATGAGAGTTGAGGTACACAGTACAGAGTTGAGAAACAGTCATATTATCCACATAACCTTTGGAATTAGAAGACATGGTAGACATTAAGGGGCTCACTACTTTTATTTTATAGTGAAGTAACCCAGGCTAGGGCCTTTGAGTGACTTCTTTATATAATTTGTTTCAGAATTAAACTCCAAAGTTCCAAATCTGGTGCCATATTATCAGAGACTTTCCCACTGGGAAAGGAAAGGCACATTTAATTAAGAATAAAATCATGGGGCTGGGGATGTGGCTCAAGCGGTAGCGCGCTCGCCTGGCATGAGTGTGGCCCGGGTTCGATCCTCAGCACTACATATAAAGAATTTTGTCCGCCGAAAACTAAAATAAATAAATATAAAAAAAGAATAAAATCATGCTATAATGGGCTGATTCTCCCTCCCTTAACCCCCCCCATATGTTCAAGTCCTAAGCCCCAGTACCTCAGGATGTAATCTCCTTAGGAAACAGGCCTTTAAGGTGAAACTGAGTTAAAATGGGGTCATTTGGGTAAACACTCAGCCAATATGACTGGTGGCCTTATAAAAAGGTAAAATATGGACACAGGTGTGGAGAGAGGGAAGATGATATGAAGGGACACAGAAAGAATGTCATTAGGAGAGGGACACAGAGCTGCCATAAGACAAGGAATGTCTGTAGCTACCAGAAGCTAGAATATGAAAGGGAAAGCCCTTCCCTTTCAGGTTTCAGAGAGAGCATGACCACCCTGCTAATATGATCATTTTGGTTTTCCAGCCTCCAGAATTGTGAGAAAAGACTTTTCTTTATTTTAAGCCACTCAGTTTGTGGTACAGTTTTAATGGCAGCCTCAGGAAACTAATACCCGTGCTCAATCAGAAAAACAGAAAGAAGCCAGGAACTGAGAAGCAATTCCTGGATGCCAAAGTAATTAATACATTAACATTTATGGAGTACTTCTCATGTGTTTTACCATGCAAAGACTTTACATGAATTGCTTCACTTTATCCTTACAACTCTTTGAGTTTATATTTTTTATGGTTGCATTTTTAGGACATTAAATCACTAAAAGTTGAATAACATTACCAAGGTTATTTAGTGGTGCATTTGGGATTCGCTAGCCCAGAGCCCAGGCATAGGTCACAGGCACCATGTCACTGTGAGATTTGAAGCCACCCTACTGTTGATTAGTAGATGGATACCTGGCTGCATATCGCCTCTGGTAGATACTACCTGCTGCTGATTTCAAAGATGACCTTGATTTAGACAGTGTATAAGCAGTGGAATAAAAGTCACTACAGTATCACGTAGAATTTACCTAAGAATATTCTTTCAAGCAGCTACAATTTCCTTTGTCTCATTTTCGAACCATAACAATCAAGGCAAATGTAAGAGAGGTTACTATGATTAATCTCATTTTGTGGATTTGTTAATTCAGTAAATATAAATTGAGCATCTACCATGTGTCAGATGCTTTCTAGATGGTTGGAATACATTGCTAAAAAAAATCAGGTAGAGATGCCTTCCTGCCTGTAGCTACCATTCCAGGAATGAGAAACTCAGAATGCAGAGACTCAGCAGATTAGAATAGAATTGTGACATTAGCAGAAAAATTCAGCTCCCCTAACATTCTCTCCTTTTCTACTGTTTGAGTTCCCCAGAAGAAATTGACAGAAAACAAATGCTTTCAAATACGTACATAATTTATACATTCATTTGTGTATATATTCATTATAAAATACTTACACTCCTGGCAGCACAATTTTTGAATTTGATTTAAAAGCTCTGATCTGCTTCATAACTGTGTTTAAGTCATGTTGAAACAGAGAAGAATTTGTCAAAATGTAAAAAGATCACTACAGGAAGCAAAATTCAACAATCTGTCCAGTAATCTGCCACAAGATCTGACAACCTCATCTGTCACTAATGTACAGGAGGCTAAGAAGAGCCTCTGGTGTTTAGGTGATAACCTTCCATCTTTGTTGTTCTTGATATCATAAAAAGGATGGCCTTAAGCCATTATCTTTCAAAGCCATAAATGTACAGATAAAGAAACAGGTTTTAACTCTCTCACTTAAGACAGTTATTTTTAAACATCTCTGATGATATTATTACTTATTGTTTAGACCACTGGTGGACATTGTAGACAAATTTATTTTTAAATAATTTAATAAGATCTATATGTTTACTTTTATATTATAAGAATTCTTCATCCTTTTGGATAAGTATCTCTACCCTATCCCAAAATGTCAAATGATCCTTTCCCCAAAAGCCAGAACGCACAGGTGATTCTCTGAGTCTTTGAAGATGACAGTAGTGGCAGAAAGCAGGAGCCTTTTAGCTGCTTCCTTGGCAGGGCTTACATTACTGAAGTGTATAGGAATAGGGCTTCCTCCGATCTGCTAAGATTTAGCATTCAAACATGCTTCTCTATGCTAATTTTAACATTTGCATTTTATAAATAACACTGTAAAAACAATGATCCCAAAGACTATGGAATATATTCAAAGAAGAGGTTTTCAAAAACTATAAAATCAGCCTAACTGAGGGTACTTAAAGTGTGGCTTTCTTGAACTTAGGAGCCACCCACAACTCCCACAGCTCTCCTCTGATGATTGAATCAGATCACTGGAATGGGACATTCTGAGATATCTCTTGCCTCCAGGCTCCACTTTGACTAACATCACAAAATGAAGTCACACACACACACACAAAAGTCTGTGTTCTTCAAGCCTGGGAAAAATAGACTGAATTCACTCAGCACATCTGCCTTAGGGAATCTGAAACCTCCCTGATAAAATACCTACCTAGTAATTTGTGCCCTTTACAGAATGAATGAACTCTAATTTGTGTATCTATAAAGTTCAGTGTTAGTTTTACTACTGTGAGGTCAAGAGCAAGAAAAAAAAAAAAAAAAGGAGAATATGGCTTTCATTACTGCTTTGAAAAATAATTAGTGTTTCATATTCTATACCAATTTTTAAGTGCCTTTCAATTCCTTTTCTTTCAATGGAACCATAGTTACCACTGAAGAAAAAGAGTCTAGGTGCAAAGGTACTATACATATTGCCTGGACACAGCTCTTAGGAACAACCACATGGTCAGCACACCAGGGCATACTGATGTTACTATAAAATGATCACCTATTATAGAGGTAATATTGATCTTTGCAATAAAGGAGTAAATGGCAAAGTTATTCCAATTAGCTATCTGCAAAAACTATTTATTCTAATAAATGCTTGAAAAATGAATGGATAAAAGATTTGCAAAACGGACTAATTCACAGTGCCAGGATAAGAATGTAGCAAAATAAGGTAAAGTGATCCATACTATAAATTATACAAGGAAAGGATTCTTGAACAGAGTGGATGACAAATCTGCAAACCAAAAAATAGGAATTGCACAATATTTCTAGTACAACCCAAGAAAGCAAGCACTCTGAAGAGACACATGTTCTACATATTCTGATCCCATACAGAAGATGAGTACACCAAGGTGTCAAAGTTGAACCATACTAGCTTCTAAGAAACTACAACCAACTTCGTTCCATTTTCACATTCATAAACCACTTGTTCATAAAGGTTGGAAGACATCTTTGATTCTACAAGATTCTCTTAAAATAAGATTTTCTTATTGAAAATAATCAAAATTTCTTTCTGATTTATACCTCAGTCATTTGTGAACATCATTCATATGTATGATTCTACTGAGCTTGGTGATCTCTGCATGCCCAGTGACATTCACGTATCTGGGCCTGTAAAACTGAAGACCAGATTCTCTAACACTAATCCCACCATACAGCAGCCAATCTGGAGCAAGTGTTTGAGCAGCAAGCTGAGCACCCTCTTTAGACACACTTGCTCTCATCAGTATCAACAACTATCAGCAAAAGTCCT